TTTTTGGTGATATTGCACTTTAATAAAAGGTATTTTTATGTTTTCTTTCAAGTTATTGAATTTTATGGCTTAAAGCAAAAATGAAGCAAAAGGAAGCAAAAAGAATGAAATTTAGAGCAAAAATAAATAAGTTGAAATTTGTTTAACGCCGACGGCGCCGTTTGACAAAGAAGACGAATTAAATTGCGGGACACTGGCGCCGACGGCTCCAATGTCGGTTCAGCCACAGATTCTAGAAGATTCGACGTATTTGGACGTTTTTTGAAGAGATTTTGGAAACACCTATTGAAGAACCGACTTGAGGCTCTATATGAGGCCGTCGCCATTCCTCATTTCAATTCATCCTCCTACACGCCATACACTTTTCCATCTTCATTCCACCACTATTTTGGAGTCAATTAGTGAGTTTTCTTTAAGAGTTTAGAGTTTTTGTAGTGAGATTAACTGTGAATCTTTCTCTAAGAGTGTTGGAGAATGAGAAAAGTGAGATTTTTTCTTCCTGCATTTCCTATGAAATGCTACAAGGGATTTGTTTTGAGAAAGAGTTTGAGATAAGTGTTGTTTGTTTATTAAATTTTTTTCTTTCTTTTATATATGAAATTTATGTTTTGTTGTATCTTTCTCATGAAGTTTAGTAGTTTCATTTATCTTTCTCCCTACTCTGAGATATGGTGAAATAAAGAGATAACATGGATGTGTCAATATTAAAATATTCAATATTAAAATATATGATTTTAAATGTTAATAATTTGTGAAGATTTGAACTCCGATCTTCATTTACATTTTAATATGGCCAACTGAATTATTAAAATGTGTTGTGGAACATATGATCCGGGAAATGGAGTATGAATTCTACAACAGAGTGAGGATCACATTTGATTCCATGTATGAGAAATTCGTTCATGAAATTAAGTGCAAATAAATAGAAATATATTTTTTTTGGTGTAGAATTGGAGAATATTTAATGTGACAGACTAAAATCTCTAATTCGGTCTTAGTGTTTAAAAATTAAAGCAAGAATTAGGCTTCAGGTGAAGGGAAGTAGGAGTCGGTATCCTCCTAACTTAGCCACAGATTTAGGAACTAAACCTGGGATTAGCCAATGATTTTCTATAACACTGTATCAGGGTAGAGAATTAAAAGTGCTACTATTTAACACAATATATATTAAAAACATTTATTTCATCTCATTTCACCAAAACTTCATTATAGTGGGAAAGATGTTTTTTCACATAAGAAAATTTCATTACATGAACATAGTTTAGTAGATTAGTAGTTACTGTTTAAACTTTACATTTCTGTTTTGCTAATAATTAAGTAATTTAGTTTTAATAATATCTCAACATTCGAAATTAGTGACAGTGATTTTGTTTTGCTTTCTGTGAATTTCCTAGTTAATTTATCATCTCAAATTTAAACATTCCCCGTGGGGTCGATATTTTGGGATTAAATAGAAAGTTCATTATTACTTGATAACGATAAGTACACTCGCGTAGAATCCCATTATTAATTACCTATACTTATATAAATTTTACACAACTTTACTATCTGCGTGGGATCAGTTGCCCTCACAGTCTTCTTTCTCAGTCGTAGAACTACCCATGATTCAAAGACGAACGACTTCTCAAGAACTTCAATATGTCTCAGAGGCATCACAAAAACCACATCGGAATGGTTCACACTAAAGAATTCAGAAAAGTATTTAGAAGCCATGACTGACAGGCAAAAATAAAAGAGTAAAGTTAGAACGTAGAAACGAGAAAAGGATCACTCAGGAAGAGAGACAACAAAGTGGGAGGTTTCCCTCGAACACGATCTGGAGAGTCGAAGGAGAAAAAGAGATGAGCATCTGAATCCCTTCCATAAGAAGAATTTCAAGGATGAAGAAGAGAGAGAACAACGTTTCAAAATTCAGTATCAAATAAAGCATAGAGAGGGGTATCTGAATCCCTTCCATAGGAAGAATTTCAAAGAGGACATCATTTGGAGGGCACAAAGACTTCGACATTAAAGTGGATCTGCCAGAGTTTGACGAAAGTATGGATCCAGATGATTTTGTTGAATGACTACGTGAAGTTGAAAGTATCTTCGAGTATAAGGAAGTGTCGGAGGATAAAAAGGTGAAACTAGCTGCCATCACCTCCTTGTGGTGGGAGAACTTACAAGGACAGAAAAAGAGAAGCTCGTGATAAAATTTTCAAGTGGGAGAGAACGAGGAAAGAACTGCAGAGAAAATATCTATCGTCACATTACCGTCATGATATATATCTGAGGCTCCACCACTTGCAACAGCGAGATCTTTCAATAGAGGAATTCATGATGCAGTTTAATCAGTTGTAAATGAAATATGAGCTGGTTGAGCCAAAGGAGTTGATGATAGCCTTTATTTGGGGGCCTCGAAGCCCGCTATCGACAATGTGACACAGATGAAACACTATTGGTCAGTTGGTGATGTTAAGACTTTAGCGTTGACAGTGGAGAGATAACAGAAACAGAGTAGATAACCACCACCAGTCAGACAGTCACCCACAGTTGGAGACACCAGCAGGAACATACCACAGGGAGTTGAAAAACTTGGTTCGTATAAAGGCAGTGTCACCCTGAGTGAGAAAAAGTCTGAGAAGAGTAGCACGCTCACTACAGTCCCTGCCAGAAAATATTTCAGATGCCAATGATTTAGGCACATCATCTCCAGTTGCTCGACAAGCAAAGTTGTCTTTTACGAAGGACGTTGTGGAGGAGGTTAACAAAGAGGCGATAACTAAGGAACATAGGGAGGTATATCATCCTTCACAACATGAAGGAGAGGCACTTGTAGTTCAATGGGTGGCTTCGTCACAATATATTCTACACCAATTTCATCATAGACAGGAAGGTATGTAGCCTTATCATCAATTAAGGGAGCAGTAAGAAAGTAGCATCTACACAAATGGTAGAGAAGATGGGTCTCATGACTCAAAGGCATTCCTAACCGCATTCCCTGGCATGGCTGAAGGAGGAGAACGGGGTCAGCATTAACCAGAGGTGCCTAGTGGAGTTCTTGATTGGAAGTCAGCTACAGGATCAGGTGTGGTGTGACGTGATCCCCATAAATGTCTACCACCTTTTGTTGGGGAGACCGAGGTAAATTGACTGTAGGACTACACGAAGACTTCAAAAACACCTACACCAAAGAGGGGAAGCACATCATCCTTCTTCCTTCGGCAAAGCCGAGATCACATGAGCACATATCAGCAGAGCAGCATAAATGGAACCAATTTTGGTGAAGACAGAGAATGATATGAATGAGAAACTAACTCTAGGCACAAGACAAGTATATTAGAGAGCATTTTAGGATATCAAGTTCGATACCTTATCACCATGGCCACTACCATTTGAGCAGGTTCGGGTTACCATCATTATAGCTCAGGCCAAACCAAACAAGGATTACTTTGGGAGGATTTAACTGTCTATGTTGAACAAACAAGCGCAGCTCAGTTCAGTAGGGGACCTCAGAAGTAGGGCTTTCAAAACGGCTCGTTGTTCGCGAACAGCTCGTGTTCAGCTCGTTAAGAAACTCGTGTTCGGTTCGTTAATTTCGTTCGATAAGTTAACTAGCCGAACACGAACTAAGATGTGTTCGTTCATGTTCGGATCATTTTGGCTCGAAATACTACTCATCAAGTTTATATATATATATATAT